CTTTCTATCTGTCATCTACTGTGTGTGTTTGTGTGTTTGTGTGTTTGTGTGTTTGTGTGTTTGTGTGTTTGTGTGTTTGTGTGTTTGTGTGTTTGTGTGGGTCTTTTCCTGTGTAAGATTGAGATTGTCTTGGCAACGTTTCAGCGAGGTCCCACTCACCATCTTCAGGCTGGTGTTTTCTTTTGTGTTGTAATGACCTGGGTGGTGGGTGGGGTTCGTTTGTTGACTAGGGCTGGTTTCCAGATGTCTGGTAGGTAATTAATTAATCTCCAAAACAAAATGTATGTATGTATACATAACAGAGTTGTGTGAATTTGCTATGCTACTAAAGTGTACTAGTAACTTGTAGTTTAATAATAGTACAATATTTTTTTCTAGTAATACACTGAAAGAATCTGCTGAAAGAAACATAAACCTGTCTCCTGTTTATGAGAAAAAAACGTGGTGAGGAAGAGAATTTTCAGTAGCAATGTCAGTGGTACAGAAAAGTTTGTTCTAATATTTTCACCCATTTGCTATTTTGGTATGGTAGAGGAATAATAACCTGCTTTACATGAAAGGGAAAGTTGTAAAGGGAGAGAGACAAAGGTCTATAAACTCAAATGATCTACTTTCAATAACAATGCTGTGCTTAGGTTAGACCCATGATGGCGAACCTATGGCACATGTGCCCCAGGTGGCACATAGAGCCCTCTCTGCGGGCACATCAGCCATTGCCCCAGCCCAGCTCCACCCCACATGTGTGCCTCCCAGAGGCCAGCTGGTCTTTGGGTCTCTGCTGCGCATGCCCGGGGGGCAGGTGGCAGGTGGGGGACATGCATGCATTGCATTTTGGGGGTTTGTACATGTGCAGGTGCCCCTGCACCCCATTTTGGGCCTGGAGGTCCTCCTGCACCAACCTGGAAGCCAAAACGGAGCATGGGCACACTGCATGAGGCCCCACTGTACCCCACCGCCCCCATCAGCGGGGGGCATTCAAATTGTATTTTGAGGTTTTGCACACGTGCACATTCGGCATTTGGCACCAAAAAGGTTAGTCATCACAGGGTTACACTATTAACTTTCAGGTGGTGTAATCTTTTATGATAGTATAAATTAAATATTACCTCATCCAAGTAATATTTGGAAGGATCTTAGTGCATGATGGAAAAGAGACGTAATGTAGTGGAAAAGAGGCAGAACATTCAAATCCGTCTTCCTTTATGCATGCGCTCTTGACTTCTTTACGACTTGGTGGTAAACAGAATTTCATGTGTGTGCCATTTAACACTTTAGTAACATATCCTCTAAGGAAAAAGAAAAAAAAAGTGTCCCTTTTTAACACATTATTACTCTCACTGAATATTCCTGCTAACTGAATTCCTTTTAAAACTCTCCCCTTTCACATCTTTCTTAAAGACTTAGAACCTTCCTTCACCTCCATGGGCCTCAAGGGTGTTTCTTAGTATAAAATATTGTCTACAGGTCTTGATTCATTCACTTCTTTCTTTTATTATCTTTCGTATGGAGAGTTGCTTCCTCTTTCAGCTAGCGTTTCCTTTGCTTGATCTGATAAAACTTTATTCTCTTATCTAAATACTGTTCCCTTAGAAGGAAGATATGATAGATTTGTAAACTCCCTCAGCAAACTGATGTTTGCTCTCTCTGTGGTTTCACTCAGATTGCTTCTTGGAATCTAACAGGAACAGGCCATCTAATCAACCACAGCAGGGGTCTCCAACCTTGGCCATTTTAAGACTTGTGGACTTCAACTCCCAGAATTCCTCAGCCAACTTTGCTTTGGTGGCTGAGGAATTCTGGGAGTTGAAGTCCACAAGTTTTAAAGTGGCCAAGGTTGGAGACCCTTGAATTACACTATAACGGACAACTATCAGCTCTCAGTATGCATTGCTTGTAATATTGGGATATTGTCTTGTTACTTTTCACAGCTGAACAAACAGTCCCTCGGAGAATTAGCTTCTCCAGAGACTTTTGTCTTTTCTTTGCTTCTTTTTTACTGGCAGTTTCCCATTAACTATCCTTGTTTACCTCCTCGGTGTATTTCTCCTTGGAAAGGACAGCTAATCCTTGTACTGCCTCTGCTTACTCAGGAGATATTACTCAATAAATCACCTACAGTGAACAATCAGCAACCTTCAGGAGACACTACTGGCAATCAACCTTTCCCCTCATTACTGTTGAACAAATAATCTTTAAGAATATACAGTTTCTCCGGTCACTCTTATCTTTTGTCTCTTTTTCATATTGAAAATGTGGACAAGCATAGGCAAAGTATATAGTAAATTCTAAGAATGACTATGGAAAACATGAATAACTGTCAGGAGTCTGATGCCATCCATATTTAACTCTCCTTTACATTTATCTTATATTTACTATTAATTTTGCCCATAGCATTATATCTTCATATGTATGTTACAGAAAGACAAATTCAGTCCAATATTCCACAGAGAATGAGAAAAAAAATACATTAATGAATTTTACTTCCTAATTACTAGCAAAGTTCCACTTTGGTAATTAACACAACAGAACAGTGTCAATTTCCACATATAGGAACTGTACATCTACTTTTCTTAGGTAGACACTATCTGATTATGTAGTCCAATCACCAATGCAAATGGTTCAAGATAAAATCAATATGGTGTTATTTTGACTCACACATCTCGTTGGCAGCTGCTAGTTCCAGTTATCTCCATCAAAAAATTTGATTTTGTAAAGTTTTCTCCTATAACCAGCACTTCAGGTTTACCTAATGTTGACACGTAGTTTGGTTCAATGGAAATAATTTTAATAGGCTACTGGAAACAAAATAAATCTATGTTAACATATCCAGACAATCTTTTTAAATTAAGTAGTAAAATCATTTTTAAGTACCTTTAACATTCCTTTGTTATAAAGGGTTTGGGAGTTAGAAAGCAAGATGTCATGAGTTAAAGTCCATGCTTAGACCTAATATATAAAATTAGGAATAGGGTTTAAAAGAAATCCTTCCCTCATATCAAGATTCTGTACATACATATTATTTTAATTTTCTAGTAAACATAAATTTTAAAAAGTTACTGTTTTTCACTGAAAAACCAAGGTCTGCACAGATGTGAGAGAATTAAGTTACTTTATATGCAATTATCCCAACCCAGTTTGTATCCTTATTCTGTTACATCTGGAAAATTTACAAAGCCAGCTTCAAAATATATAAATAGGTATTAGTAGTTTACTTCTCATAAACAGCCACATTAATCTGTCAGGAAGGAGAGATCTGCTTTTCTCCAAATAGACAGATCCATGCCAAGAAGTTAAGGGATAGAGAACTTGTAGCTTTCCAGATACTGTTGATAATTCTCAGGATTAGTTTCCATTTGCCATGCTTAACTGAGTTTCTGGGTTATCTTAAAAGTAAGTCCATCTCCAGTGTAAGACATAAATACATCTTTTCCTTTAACTTTTAATATATCAGTTTCAATTTTTTGTGTGCTGACCTTTGATGTTGCTGAACGATCTTTTTTGTTTAATGCATTGATAGTGCTACTACAATCAATCTGAAAAATAAATCAATAAAAACAAATCAATTTACAAAGACCACTTCAGAGAACAAATTTCATTAAATGATTTTTATAATTCTATAAAATCAAAACATCTTACTTTTTTGGCACAAGTCATAGTAGAGGTAACACATTTTTTTTCTCCAGCATTCCAGATGCAGTGCATATGATTACATTTTGAGCATCTAGTAATATATATTTTTTAAAAAAAGAATATGTAGCAATTAGCAAAGGATAGAATGGACCATCAGCAAAAGTGTGAAGAATGCCTAGAGGCTAGGTCCTATTTAAGATATTTACATCTTATAAATATTAAATATTTGATACTGAATCTATCAGTAACAACCTTGACTATACTTCTTTTTACATTTATGAACTGTATATATTTCTAATTCTTAACGATAAGTGGAACATTATAAATCCATTCAAAACAAATTTAGTAAATGCATCATACGTTTTTGATAAGGAACAGATGTCAAATTCAAATATTTCTGATAAATTCCAAGTTCCTGAGATGAATAACACTTGAACTGAAAGAAATGAGAAGAAAACACTTATATTAGTAACTGCAAACCTGTATATAATGAATAACTTAAAAACAATTGATTTAAATCTAGAGCTACAGGTTCCCTTTATATAATTGTTGCTTTTATATTCTATTTTTCAGTCAGGACTGGATGCCTGAGAGGCTTACAAGTGAAATGAATTACCAAAGAAATATGAAATGTCTTCAACAATAAACCTATAAACAGATTGCACCTCTTACTGTTTCATATGTCACATAGAATTAACTGTCTCAATAAAATGATGTTCTGTGTTTCTTGAACAATACAGTTAGACTACCTTGCACAGAATCTCAAGTTATGGGACAATTGTACCATAACACTTGTACAGAGTATACAGATCTCACCCATTTCTGCATGCATTGTCTTTGCAATACCATTAATATAATTTCCGGGAATATGAACATGCTTCTATTGGCAAAGTTTTTAAGAGTGCTTTCTTCAAGTGAATGGTGGAAAATCCTATCCCAAAGGTTCAGATGTCCATCAATTAAATCTAACTTGTCCATGTAGATCAGTGGTTCTCAACCTTCCCAATGCTGCGACCCTTTAATATAGTTCCTCATGTTGTGGTGACCCCCAACCATAAAATTGGTGTCTCGGTTCCTAAGACCATCGAAAATATGTGTTTTCTGATGGTCATAGGCAGTGACGTGCAGTGAGTTTTATGGCTGGTGAGGCAGCAATTTTTTTAGACATGTGGACTTCAACTCCCAGAATTCCATAGCCAGACAT